TTTTGCAGACTGATGAAAACACTATGTCCAGAGTGATGTGGGTGTAGATTTTCCATGCAGAGCCAGTTTCTAAACTGTTGTTCTAGGTTGTGATTTGGAACTTTTTCTATTATTCTGATGCCCGTGCCTATGTCAACTATATAATTCATAAAATTTTGGAGTAATGAAGAGGCTAGGAATATGGTCTCTGTTGCTGTACTGCCTGTGTTCAAATCCCATCTCTGCCATGACTCTTTGTGGGACCTTAGACAAGATAATTAACTTCACTGTGTTTCAGTTTTATCTCATTAGCATCTGCCTTATAGAGTCGTTGTGAGGGATGAATGAATTAATCCACATAAAGAGTTTAGAATAATACCTGGCTCATACTGAGTGCTCAGTAAGTGCTAACTGCTATTGTTAATATTGTTAAATGAGCAGTAAGTATGGGGAGAGTCTGCAAGTGAGTATAAAGAATTGAAAGCTGCTTTATCTTAAAAGTAAACTTCAAAGGGTATTTATAACTTCAAAGGGTAAAAAGTATGTCAGGAAGGAAGAAGAAAACCTGGACAAGATGTGAAAGAGAATGAGGATGGTTTGAAATCCCAAGGAGATAAAAGTTTAGGGAATTGTAACTAGAAATCTAGAATCAGAAGATAAAATCCAGAGCAATGTCAGTGAAGGCCCGAATGAGAAAAGGGGCACTTCTAAACGATCTGAGAGAGTCCCTGGTTGGCACTTTACCGATTTAAACAGTCTCAAGGTCACTGGAAAGTGTGCAGTCCATTAAAGTTCTCTGTTTCCGTACAGCCTAGGGGAGGTTCAAAAGGCTCCTGCCTATTTTGGGTTTTGCTGCATCCCACTTCTCCAGGCACTTCCTGCAGGAACAAATCTGAAGGTTGGAGGTGCATGTGTGTTGTTCATTCTTGCAGCAGAGAATGTAGTGCAGTGTTGTAAAGAGGAGTCCTGCAGCAGCATTTCCAGTGGGTGTGGTGCCTTGGAGTTTTGTCTTGGAGACAGCAAATCATATTTGCCTCTTGGCTCTAGAATGCTAATGGGACTTGTGTTTAGAATTAGCCTGGACTAATGCAGCTCTTATAGTGTCTGATGGAAATTGGGCTGTCACCCATGGTTTAAGAAGGTGGCTCCGAAATCCTGCTGATGTCTTATAAGAACTTGATGAGTTCCCTCAAAGTGCTTCCTTGTAGTGGTAGGAAAATAATGAATAAGAGGATGTCCCAAGCACTGCCATTAAATTGTGGTTTTTTTGGATTCCTTTTATTTATTTCATTACCAATTGTATGCACCAGGAAAATCTCTTTGCTTATTTACTCATGTATGATATATGATTCCTGATTTTTTTTTAACAGCACTCTCCCTCATTATTTTCTGATTTCAAGTGTATCTAATTTCAGGTGTCTGTGCTCTGGTATATATACATATATACATAAATATCCTTGCACTTATCTTTTCAGCATCTTATGACATTTTGCTATGTTTTGAATTTGATCCGTACATATACATATTTGCTTATTTTTAAATGGCCATTTTGTTAGAGTAGTATATCTAAATAAAATGTACCTTCTCATATGGTGGTCTCACACTCCCTCTTCCCCTCCCCTTTTTTTTCCCAAAGAAATCTATCTGAAATAAGTGAGTTAAGTGATAAGAGTTGTAGAAACCCTTTTTTATAATGTATGTATCAGAATTTTAAAAAGAAACATAATAAAGGTAACCCCATCTTCCCCCACTAAAAACTAATTGTGTAGACAGGTATTTTTATTGGTTCCTTTCATATATTTACCTTAGAGTGTCCATGATGGAGAAATAGCACACTTAGACTCTACATTGCTAGAGAGCAGGATTGTGAAACCCGTGGGCCCTCTAGAACATTTTGGTTAGTTAGTAAGCACTCACAGAATTGGCATTATCCCCTTACTTACAATAGATGTCAAGGAGCCATTTCTGATCATTTAGATTGCAGGCCTCTGAAACTGCAATGCACATAAATTAGATGATGATCCTGAGCTTAATGAGATTCAGCCAGAAAATCTGCCCAGATCTCTCTGTCGCTCTGTCTCTGTCTCTTTCTTTGTCTGTTTCTCTCTGCCCATAGGAAAGGAAACATGGGCACTTCTTAGATTCAGAGACATAAACTTTTTGGTGAAGGGGCAGATTTATTTCCAGGGCCAGAGGTGGCTTGATTGTGGACTCTGCCATTTGTGTCTCAATGGTGAGAAATTCCTCTTTCCTCCAGCAACACCTTTCACAGTGAAGCCCCTGGCCAGCCTCCATGCTCTTGGCTCTTTCTCCCTAGATGTGCCTGTAATTCAGTTTCTAAGCTGCTTTGCCCCTGCATGCTGGAAGGCAGATGATCTCAGCCTGACACACACAGAAGCCTCTCTCCTCCCCTGGCCCAGCTCTTCCTTCCTCCAGGCGGGGCCAGGCCACAGATGTGTGCTAATGAGAGCTTCTCTTTGTTTGCAGGGTTTGGGATGCTTTGACAGACAATTACATCCCTTCACTCTCAGAAGACTGGAGGGACCCAAACATCGAGGCTCTGAATGGCAACAGCTCTGACACTGAGGTACCTCTCTGGGGCCCCCTATTTAGTAGGGCTTGAGAAGACATGGAATCCAATTAGAAAAACATTCAGTAATGCAACAGTCTTCCTCATAATGTAATGAAGCTCAGTAATAGCTCAGAATCATTGCTGGGAAGGTAGGAGTTGTGGACAAGGCTGAAAAATAAGAAAAGGAAAATATCCAGCATATCAGAGGTGACTGGAATTGTTATCAGTGAAAAGTGTAAATGTAGGTAACTTCTATTGTTAATCTGTATACTACAAAATGCAAAATAAGGTGATCTAAAAGAAGAGAAGGAGAATGACTATCACAGGCTTCTTTTGTGCTCAAATAATTATGATTTTAAAAAATCAGATTTTCACCATCTGAAATGAACAGTTCAGTCCCATCAAAAACAGTGCTGAAAACAAGCACTGAGAGATCTTGTCTTGGCCATGGCCAGAGATGGGGCCCAGATATTAGTGAGGGGCCCACGCAATGGGGAAGAATTGTTTATGAAACTCAACCAAGGGGACATTTATGTGTCTGGACCAGAGTCACACTCCATGGTTACTGATGCCAAGGAAGAAAGTAGCCTAAGGGCTTCTGAAAGATGAAGAGGATGCTTGTTTTGAGGGGATTTGCATAGGTTATGGGGAATGACCTTTCCAAAGATCCATATTGCCCCTCTTGGCTGAATCAGCATATAGAATAGTCAGTTTGGGCTGCTGTAACAGAATACCTTAGACTGAGTAGCACATAAATGACAGAAATTTATTTCTCACAGTTCTGGAGGCTGGGAAGTCCCAGATCAAGGCACCAACAGATTTGGTGTCTGGTGTAGGCTTTCTGGTTCATAGATGGCATCTTCTCACCATGTCCTCATGTGGTGGAGGGGACAGACAAGCTCCTTTGGGCTTATTTTTAAGGGCACTAATCCCATTCATGAGGTTCTAACCCCATGACCTAATCACCTCTCAAAGGCCCCCACCTCCTAATACCATCACTTTGGCCTGGGGATGGGGGGATAGAATTTCAACATGAGTTTTTGGGGGACACAAACTTTCAGACCATAGCAAAAGGTAAAATCATTTAATGGCTCTATCCATGTTAAAAGCCAATTTCTGCCTTGCTTGGTTTTCTAGTTTCAGCTATGAAGGAAATTTGACAATTTCTTATAAGGAAGGGCAGTCACAGCCCTGTGGACTCAACAAATGATGGAAGGAGGTAGATCTAATCTTCCTAGGTGTTCCAGAACTGAGTCCAAGTAAGAGAGCAAGAAAGAGATTCCCCTTACTTGGCAATATATCTGCAGATATTGCTCAAAATATCACAGCAAAGAGATCAGCATTGGGCTGATTTGTGGAAAAAACGGTTGTATATCTGTCCTAACTCTTCTAATAATTAGCAATCCAAAATACTCAAAACTTTAAGGCTTCATTGACTGGGTCAGATAAGATGGTGACTTTGAGCCTAAAATTTGCTGCAAGCCCACACAGCACAGACATAGGAGGCTGTGTCTCAGATCCTATTTTGAACTCCTGACTGCTCATTTTCTCTTCCACTGCTTTAAACGTATGGTGTTTATTCCTTATCCAAAACTCAAAGGAGAAGGAGGCAATAACGGAATAAATCTAGTTACTGAAATTAAATCAGGTCCACTGTGGTGCAAAAGGCAGATTTTGCTTTGTTATCTCTTTTTCCACCTTTCCAACTCATTTTGTGGACTAAGCCAAGGGATATATAAGATAGCCTGCCCTTCAAAAGCACTCTAATTTATCTTCATTTGCAGATTTCCCTCAAGAGAGTTAATATTTCAGGGCGAATTAAATGACCCTGAGAAGGATGATCTTGAGCTCTGTTCCTTGTAGTATTTCTTCCATCTAACCCATGGGAAAAGAACAGGGCAGCAAAAGTAGATGGATTAAGGCTGTTTCATTTCATCCTCCTTTATTATCTGGATTAATTACAGTAGAAGCTCTTTTAACTGACCTCCGTTTAAACGACTTACTAGATTAACCAGTGCTCTGTATTCGTTCTATAAAACCTACCAATGCCTTTGGCATGCAGAATGCATACAGCTGGTAGGCTTCTCTCTAGCAAGCTCTCATACTTTCCACGTAAGTGGTACATTACCAGGCATCAGTTTGTTCCCAAACCTGTTCATGCTTGTCCCTGTGACTGTAACTAAGTAATTTAATTAAATATTATGCAAACTGTTGAATTGTGACTGCAAAGGGTCATTTTTGCTTTGTTAAAATCAATTAACACATGCATATAATTTAAAAAGTCAAATAATACTTTTTAAATAATACATTATAAGGAAAAGACAAAAAATAAATAAGTAAAAACAGCATCCCCTTACTTTGTCTTTTCCAACTCTGTGGAGGCAATCACTTGTATTTCTTTTAGCTGTTTTCTTTTTCTTTTCTCTTTGGCATATAGCTCCAATTTCCTAATAGCACATTTATATTACTATTTCTCTGAGTTTGTAAAACTATCGGTTTTGGCTGTTATCTATTAACTTTGTATTTTGGAAGATGAAGCTTTAATTCTTTTACGCCCCCACAGTGCTGACACTTACCCTTCCCTTTTCTAATATAGGGTAGTCACCAATTTACATTTAATTCAATATTAAATACATACACGATTATAACTGTTTAAGTACTATTTCTGGCTGAACCATGTAGTGTTCTATAAGAATATTTCCTCTCTCGTGCAACTTTTTAAAGAAACAAGGTAATTTTTAAGAATTACTTTGTTTTTCCCTTGCTTAGCTGCCAATATATCAGTCATTAGTTCAATCCTAAACTCTGACTGAACTGTAAACCTCACAATATGGTTGTTCTGTGTTCTTTTATGTGATGGTGTCAGGTGCAGCCACACGAGGATACAGGAGAGGCTCAGGGAAGCAAAGTTTATTATGCTCACAGGTCCTAGCAACAAGAGGTATGGCACTGCAAGCCAGGCGGGGCCACATGAAGAAGCACCAACCTTGGAAAGGAGGCATGCGTGAGGGGAGAGCCTTGGCCACTGCCTTTATTGGGGTTTCCTCAGAAAAGGCCAGACAGGGCAGGGTGAACAGTTTAGGACTCGCTAGTTTGAATAATTTTGTAGGGGTGGTTTCTACTTGCCTGATACCTGGCCCTGGGATGACCAAGGCAGAGGCATATTGTCAGCTGGGGCTCTGCATGGCTTAGTTTGCATGTCAAAGGCATACCCCTAGCTGAGCCCATTGCTATCTGTGAGAACTGGCTAGCCTCCAGTGGTGGTGGTGCAGTCTCTTTCCACCAGAAAGGTTCTTTGTTTTTGGTTTTTTGGTGGCTGTCTGGTAAGGGGATCCCAACCCTTGGCCTTGATATTATCAGCACCATACTCTAACTGGCCAGCCCTAGAAAAGTTTTTAAAATGTCAAAACATAATATACAGAAACTTAAAAATATAAACAATATAATGGTTAAGAAAAATTAGATATTCTACCAATTCAATATTTTTTCTTGAAAATATCCTTACTAGTGCTCGCCATCTTTCTGCTACCTGGTCTGGTTATATGCTAGATCTGCTGCACAGCTATTGTCCTGGGAATTTCCTTCACCTTCATCCTGCAGATTCTTCTCGCCTTTCTCTCCTGCTCTCTGGTTGTGATACTTACATCTTTATTCACCTGTCATATACCTGATTCAGAGCTTGATTTGACAGGTAGTTATTGGAGGTTGCAAAAAAGTTTATAGTCAGAATTCTGAGGGCATTATTCTTTTCTAGCTTTCAGTTGTTGTTGAGAAGCCCAAAATCCATTCTGATTCCCAGTCCTTTATTTTATTTTTTTTGTCCTTTTTGAGACCGGCCGCACTGCGCGCTCAGCCAGTGAGCGAACCGGCCATCCCCATATAGGATCCGAACCCACGGCGGGAGCATCACTGCGCTCCCAGCGCCGCACTCTCCCTAGTGCGCCACGGGCTCGGCCCAAGGCTCTTTTTTTGTGTGTGTGTGTATGGCTATCCAATTGTTCCAGTACAGTTTATTGAAAATATTATCCCTTCCCCATTAAATTGTTTTGGCACCTTTGTTGAAAATCAATTGATCATATATGTATGGTTCTATTGAATTCTCTATTCTGCTTCATTGATATATATGTCTATTTTTATGCCAATATGACACTGGATTGTTTACTGTAGCTTTATAGTAAGTCTTGAAATAAACTAGTATAAATCCTTCAACTTCGTTCTTTTTTTTTTTTCCCCCAAAGTTATTTTGGCTCTTTTAGATCCTTTGTATTTCAATATAAATCCTGGAATCAGCTGATAAATTTTTACAAAAAAATCTGCTGGAAATTTGACTGTGATTGTGTTGAATGTATAGATCAATTTATATATGTATTTCAATTTATTATGTTAATGTGTGGAATTAAATGAATTGATTTTCAAATTTTAAACCACTTCATTTTTGAGGTAAATCCCACTTAGTTATGATATTTTATCCTTTTTATATAATGTGGCNTTTTCTAGCTTTCAGTTGTTGTTGAGAAGCCCAAAATCCATTCTGATTCCCAGTCCTTTATGTTTTATTTATTTATTTTTTGTCCTTTTTGAGACCGGCCGCACTGCGCACTCAGCCAGTGAGCGAACCGGCCATCCCCATATAGGTGCTCAGCCAGTGAGCGAACCGGCCATCCCCATATAGGATCCGAACCCGCGGTGGGAGCGCTGCTGCGCTCCCAGCGCCGCACTCTCCCGAGTGCGCCACGGGCTCGGCCCCCCAGTCCTTTATTTGTGACCCTCTTTTGGTTCTTTCTAGAAGCTTTTAGGATGTTCTCATTTTCCTTTCTCCTTTGAAATTTACAGTAATGTGGCTGACAGAGAGTTTTTTTTTTTTTCATTCGTTATACATTATATTATATTCAGTGGGCCCTTTCACCCTGGAAACTTCTGACTTTAAATTGTGGCATGTTTTCCTGTATTGTTTTTCTGAAGATTCATTATTTCTGTTTTCTTCCTCTATTGAGATGATTATTTAGTTTTTCTCC